TTGATGGCAAATCAACCACCATGTTCATGAAGGCCTGGGCTTATCTCTGTCAAACCACTCGAGAACTGCCATGTTTGTTACCCAAAGGACTAGACCCATTCCTGGACTAAACCGTTGTCAAAGATCCTAATCGACTCGATCTCATGTACTTAAAGGGATGGAAATTTATGTCAGAAGCTATTGGATCCCATGAATAAAGCCTCAAGCTTTTGCTAAACACTACTTCACCTCAATGTCTTGATTTATTGGCTCTAGCCACTTTTGAACTAAGCCCTCAAGATTTATAGAAACTGAAACAAAGGGTTCTTTCATTGTGGAACAAGTTCATCAAGAAGAAGAACCTGTGAATCTTTCAACTTTCATTCTTGCTTCTGCATTTGTATTTACCTGCAATGCAAAAGCAATAACAGGAAAAGGAAATGATGAAGGATTAAGCAAGGACAATAATAACAGTATCGATATTTCCTTTGGATTTTCTGCAGATTGTGGTCACACTTGAACTCAGAAGTGGATCCAAATTATCTTGGTAACTGTGTGTTTCCTTGTATGATCAACATAGTAACAGAAGAGATTGTTAATTTTTAGTGAAAGAAGGAAAATAGAAGATAAAAGACATAACGGTAATAAAGAAAGAGAGAGACATAATTAAGAATGACTTTGTATCAATGACTTTGTATCATTTCATGTTTTGAACAGTGCTACTATAGGGGTATGTATACAGAAAGCTATTCTAGAATATTCCTAGAGCCAATTGTACACAGACATGTGCTGTGAGTTACAATTTCAGTTTTCACATATGGTGCTGTGTTTGGGCTTCAGACGTGTATATCTTGGGCTATTGTATAGTGATAGATGTAATTGGGCTTGTTTGAATTCTAACATCTCCCCGTGAGTCGTATGGCACTGGTGTGACATTAAGACTCGACCTAAGCTGCATGAATCTATGTGTAAAAAGAGGCTTGGTGAGAATATTAGTAATTTGATCTTTGGAAGAGACAAGGGCAATGTGAAGTTTTCTGGCTACCACTCTTTCTCAAACAAAATGGTAGTCCAGTGATATATGCTTTGCACGAGAATGAAAGACAAGGTTAGCAGCAAGGTAGGTGGCTCTTAAGTTGTCACAATAAAGCATTGGAGTCTGAGAGAGAGATGTTTAACTCACCAAGTAGATTTTGAACACACATAAGTTCACTGGTTGAGTTAGCAAGGGATTGGTACTCTACCTCAGTACTAGATTAGGAAACAGTTGCTTGTTTGTTTCTTTGAACTCTAAGATATAACATTAGGACCAAAATAGACAACAAAACCAGCAATGGAACATGAATCTACAGGGTAGCCACCCCAATTTGCATTAGAGTAAGCTTTAAGGATAGGTGGAGGTTCAGAAATAGCAACAGAGAACAAGGAGAAATTGGAGGATCATTTGAAAAGCAACTCATAATGAGTAGTAGCACACAAGTAACGAAGGATTCATTTGATTGTTGTCCAATATTGTTCAATGGGCTGGTGCATAAATTGACACACACGATATACAGCATAGGAGACGTTTGGATGAGTGAAAGATAAATATTGGAGACTGCCTATGATGCTACGATAAAGGTAGGATCAGAAAAGGAAGAACCAGTAGTATGTAGTTTTGCATTAACAGCCATCGGAGATGCCATAGAATGAGCATTAGCCATGTTAGCATGTTTTAACAAATCAATAATGTATTTGTGCTGAGACAGAATAAGACCAGTAGATACTCTATGTACTTTGACTCTAAGAAAATAATGTAAAGGCCCCAAGTCTTTAATAGGAAAGGTAGAACTGAGATTTGCAATCAGAGCAGTAATAGCATCATCAAAAGAGCTAGTTAAGATAATATCATCCACATAGATGAGTACATACAACTAATAGGAAGGAGAGTGAAAAGTAAATAAAGAAGCATTAGATTTGGAACCTGTGAACCCAAGTTGAGTAAGGTGTGTACTGAGACAAGAGAACCAGGCTTGAGGAGCCTGTTTTAGGCCATAGAGGGATCGATGAAGTTTACAGATAAAGTAGGGGTATTTAGGATGAACAAAACCCGGAGGTTGAGATATGTAGACGTTTTTTAGTGAGGGAACCATGGAGAAATGCATTCTGGACGTCAATTTGCTAAAGGGACCATCCTTATGAAACAGCTAGCAAGATGATGAGGCAGATGGTAATAGGTTTGACAATAGGGGAGAACATTTTAGAAAAACCAAGACTAGCTTGTTGATGAAAGCCCTTAGCAATAAGGCAAGCTTTGAAGCAATCAATCACACCAGATGGTTAGTATTTGATGTGAAAGATCTATTTACACCAGATGAGATTTTGAGAAGAAACAAGAGGGACCAAGGACCATGTTATAGTGTTGAGGAGTGCCTGCAATTCTTCAGCCATAGCCTAACGCCAAGTGGGTGTTTAATAGCTTTAGTGATAAAGTGGGTACAATGTCAGAGTGGTAATGGCAGAGAGAACTTGATGTGGGGGCCATAGGATAGTACCATCATAGAAGAGTTTTGGTTTTGAGATGTGTGCATGAGATCTGATGATCATTGGATGGAGAGGGGGTGCACGGATTTGAGTTGCAGTGGGCGGAGGTGAGGAAGAGCTGGAGAAAGAAGATGACTGAGGAGAGGGAGAGGACGGTGAGGTGTGTGGCGTAGTCACGTGAAGGGGAAAGGGGTATGGTAGATAGGGTTGGATTAGAAGGAAGTGGGCTTGGAGAAAGAAAAGGTAGTGTGGTGGTAGGATTGGGCTCGGTGGTATTTGGAGTTAAGTGATGATAAGGAAAATAGGTTCCATCAAAGAGGACATCACATGATAGGCAAATTCGGCCTGATTCGGCCTGATTTAGGGTGTAAGTAGATGTAGCCCATGTGATTTGCACTATAGCTAAGGAAGACACAAAGAGTAGATCTTGGTTCCAATTTATTTTTAGTGTAGGGACGCAAGTTGGGCCAGTAGGCAGAGCCGAAAACCTTAAGAATTTGGTACTTGGGCTTGTGATGAAAGAGTTTTTAGAATGGACTTAGATTGTTAAGTGTGTGACTAGGAAGTCTGTTAAGAAGGTACGTGGCCGTGGAGAAGGCGTAAGACCAGAATGTGCATGGGAGGTTAGTATGGGAGAGAAGAGAAAGACCTGTTTCAACAATTGTTCTGTGACGTCTCTCAACTGTGCCATTTTGTGTATGAGTATGAGGACAAGTTATCTGATGATGAATACCAAGAGAAGAGAAAAGTTTCTTAAGAAGGCAAAATTCACCACCCCAATCAGATTGGAAACTCTTGATTTTTCTATTAAGCAAGTTTTCTACAAGAGTTTTAAAAGACAAAAAAGTAGGAACAACTTCATCCTTAGTTCAAATGGGGAAAAACCACATAAAACGAGAATGATCATCAACAAAACAGACATAATAACGGTAACCATTAACAGACATAACTGGGGATGGACCCTAAACATCACAAAAAACAAGATCTAGTAGAGTAGATTATCAGTGTAGAGACAATGGTGAAGGTAGATGATGACTTTTGGAGACTCTGCTCATTGAACACTGAGAGGGAACCAAAGTGGTTGAAATAGGTAAAGAGTTGGAAGAGACAATATGCTGAATTGTGCAAAAGGCAAGATGACCCAAATGATCATACCATTGACTGAGAAAGGCACAGACACCAAGACACGCAACAATAGACGAAGGCTGTCATAATCCACATAGAGGGTAAAGATTGTTATGACTGGGACCTTGGAGCAGTGTTTGATAAGTTTTGGCATCCTTTACAATGAAACCATGAACATGAAATTCAAAGAAAACATTATTATCAACACAGAACTGAGAAACGGATAAGAGATTTTGAGAAATATTAGGAACATGAAGAAGTTGGGTAAGAAGGTATTTGCCATTTTGTGCGCTGAGGTGTCCATACCTGTCTTTTGTGTAGGGAGTAGAGCTTCACTGCCAACTTGCACAGATTCTTGACCATGATATGGAATGGAGTGGATATTCAGATTTGAGAGGTCTGTAGTCATGTGATTTGTAGCTCCTGTATCAGGATACCAAAGTGTATCTTCCATAGCAGAAAGGGAATATAGAGTAATTTGCATAATAAGAATTGGTGGGAGGAGGATGAAAGTTATGATCATAGCAACAAGGGCAAGCAACCACTATGTGACCATGTTCATGGCACATTTGACAAATGTTAGTTGTGGTGGTAGAGAAGAAAGAGGGCGTTGTATGACCACCATACTATCCATAAAAGTTTCTGCCACCTCTATAACCATGACCTTTGCTGTTGAAAGCAAATTGTCCTCCACAACCTCTATAGAAAGAGAAGCCACGTCTTTCTTGCTATGTAGGTGTGGGTAGGAGACCATGTAAAACTTTTACAGTGTTGGCAGTAATGTGAGGGACTTGAGTGCTAATATTTTGATTTTGTCGAGCTTCACAGGAGAGAAGATGACTGAGGATCTCTTCAGAGGAAAGGACATCTCGCCTTGTAGTAAGAGAGATAGCTATGGAATCATAGTTACAGCGAAGTCCACCAAGGAGATAAATGGGAAAATCAACATTAGAAGCTGGGTTTCTTGTAGCTGCTAGAGAATCAGCAAGAAGAATTGCATGTTGATGATATTCAGAAATGGACTCACCACCTTTCTTTAAATGAGTGAATTGTTGGTGGAGCTGAAGATATTTAGCTTGAGACTGTTGAGAGAACATGGTTTCCAGAGCTGTCCACATAGCTCTGGATGTCTTGTGTCTCATGACTTGAGCAATAAGCTTTTTTGATAGAGATGAAATGAGAAGAGATAGCACCAGTTGATCCTGCTTGAACCATTTGATATAGGCCGGATTAGGAGTGCCATTGGAGAGTTTGGTTGGAGGTTGTGGATTGGAACCATCAATGTAACAGAAGTAACATTGGCCATAAAGATATGGTAACATTTGTGCCTTCCATATAAGATAATGGTCTTGGTTTAGTTTGACGGTGATGAAATGAGAGACATTGGGAGGGTTGGAGAGAGTGGTTTGGGAAGTGACAAGTCAGAAGTACCAGAGGAGGAAGAGACCGAGCTTTTTATGGGATCTGTCACGGCGGCATTGCCTATTACTGTGATACCATTTTAGTGAAAGAAGGAAAATAAAAGATAAAAGACATAACGGTAATAAAGAAAGAGAGAGACATAATTTAGAAATGACTTTGTATCATTTCATGCTTTGAACAGTGCTACTACAGGGTATATATACAGAAAACTATTCTAGATTATTCCTAGAGCCAGCTGTACACAAACATGTGCTGTGAGTTACAATTTCAATTTTCACGTATGGTGCTGTGTTTGGGCTTTAGGCGTGTGTATCTTGGGCTGCTGTTTAGTGATAGATGTAATTGGGCTTGTTTGTGTTCTAACAAAGGAAGAAGGAATAGTTATAATGGCAAAGAAAATCCAGAGTGAGATACGAAGGTTCTCGGAGAAAGGAGTGCTTAATGAAGCTGAGGCTTTGAGTGGTAAGTGGAAATCCATGGCGACTAGAGGAACAAGAGGGATAGGAATTGGTGGGTTTACTCGTTTTCGGGTTTATAAGACTGATTTTGGTTGGGGAAGACCAGTGAAAGTGGAGATAGCAACAGTGGATATGAATGGATTGATCACAATGGCAGAAGGAAGAGAAGGAAATGGTGGGGTTGAACTTGGCTTGCTTCCTTATAAGAACGAGTTGGATTTATTTGCTTCTTCATTTCGTGATGCCATACAAGGTCTTCATTGATTTTAATTACAAGAAAAATGATCACGGTTAATGACGTGCCAATATAGAAAAAAATTAGTGTGATTTAAGGTTTCTGCTGATGAAATGTAATAAATATGTTAAAATTTCTTTTAACTGTTTTCATTAAATAATGTAGTTTGCTTTCTTTAATTAGGATTTGTGCTCAATCAAAAATGAGGGTATAGTTGAAAAGACAGCAAGTAATGTTGTCTCAAACTTATATAATGACAGATAAATATAATAAAAATTTCCCTTGAATGTAAAAATTAAAAAAATAGAGGAATTAGTGTCTAGATGTTTCTTTAAGCATTTGTAAAGCCCGTTTTTCTTTTTATATTGTATCTGTGTATGGATGTCAGCTTCTTGTGTATTTTAGAGTTGCTATTGTACAGCGAAAGTCTAGAATAGTAAGCAATCAATAGAATACTTATTTTTACCCTAAAATTTTTGTCTATATGTGACTATGAAATAATCCAAGAGCCACTTTTTTTTTTGGGCCAAAAATCTAAGAGCCACTGACTCGTAAAAAACACATCGTTTGATCACTATTTTATCTTCTCTCGAAATTAGCAATGATTATTGAAATAGTCATGTATTAAAAGAGGAGTCTTCAGTAGCATTAACAGCCAGCGGATTGTTAACGATTTCAAAATATGAAATTATTTAAGGGGAAAGCCCGCTTGATCTTGTCTGACAGTAATGATGACATCAATCGGACAATTGGAGTAGCATAATGATGATAATGAGGAAAAATTGCAACAAGGTTCCAGCTAGCATAAATAAATACAAAAAAAAAAGTTTTTTAGAATCATCAAATTATTCTGAAGTCTCAAGAAATCTCGTCACAAAAGATTTTATTTGTTTAATTATCACATTGCCATTGTCTTTTTTTTTTAAATATGCATTAACAATTAAAAGTACAGTTGTTAATAACTTAAAGTATAAGAATTGACAACTATCACAATAGTTATTAACAATTCATGCATTATATTTTTCTGATGTGTTGAGAAAATATGTTATTAATACTTGCTGCGATAGTTGTCAATCATTACATCTTAAGTTGTTCATGACTGCTCTTTTAGTTGTCACTGTATACTTAAAAAAAATAAGGGCAATTTAGTAATTAAAAAAATAAAATCTCCTTGTAAAGAGGTCCCTTATTTTAAGAGACTTATTTAATTTTTTTGAGTGAGAAGTTATTGCAATTTTTCCTAATAAAAATAAAGGGACGGAGATTTGGTTGGGTGATGGGGATTTTTCATTCATCTTTTTTTTTTTTAATATAAACTGTATTCAACAAATTAAAGTTAAGACATTACCCAGACGCTGGTCCAAAAAAAAAAAAGACATTACCCAGACAAAGTCAAGATATTACAACAGTCATTCATCGTTTTTATACAAAATATAAAATATTTTATTTGATTATGCATAATTATGTTGCATATATAAAATGTTGGTAGAGATTTGAGGGAAGTGGGAACATATAAATTATTATGAATATAAATTACTGTGTCCTATATTGAATACGACTAGTTAAGGACTTTGTTGGGACTCTATGAAATGTCATAAATGATGGTATCTTAGTAATACAACTCACACTTTTATTCGAGTCTCATTTGCTAACACTCTACATTATGAGTTTTATATATTTTTCTATTGCTAGTTTTTATTTTGTTGGTTGTCGTTTTGTCTATTTTTCTCATGTTTCAAATGTTTTTACGTTGGCTTTTTTCTTTGGTTCATTTAGGTTTTGCTTAAATTGATAAAATGTAACCGGCCGATCTTTTTATATATAACTATTTTACTTATGTTCAATAAAATTGTCTTTTTATAAAACAAGTTTGTTTTAATCTTAAATATATGTTTTTAATCTATTTTGTTTCTCAATTTTTTAAAAATATTTCTATTAATTACATATAATAAGAAATTTTCATGAAAGAGTAGTTATAATGCACACGATTGAAAAGGGTATTCTAAAAAAATCAATATACGTTTATTATAAATAAATAATCTAACTAATTTTTTAATATTGATAAATTAATTATCCACCTTTTATATTGGGAATTGAAGGGGTTATAATATTGTCAAATTCAAAATTCACTGGAAATGGGTTTCTTACATTTAAAAACATTGCATAATGTGAAAGGAAACTGCCCCTACCACCACTTACTTGAAAATAAGAGACATGATTTATAGGAGAGGAAAAGGAAATGGATTTTTTTTTTTTTTTGGCATTACAAGCTATGACCTGGAGGCAGATTCTAGTGCCACACAAGGCACATTCAATGCCAGAAAGCCAAGAGGCATCAGACAAGAAATGGATTCATTATTGTTATGTTTTTTTTGATAAAACATCAAATTTATCCAAACACAGATAAAAAGATTAAATAAAAAGCCAACCTATTACATTCAGTTAATTTGAGTAAAACCTAAATTAACTAAAGGAAAAGGCTTGTCTAATACGAGTGAAATAAGAAAGCAGAACAAACTAGCAATAAAGAAAAACTAAAAAAAAAATTAATATAACGAGAGTAGAAAAGAAACAAGCAATACCACAGAAATTAAAGTAGGCTCGAATATTTTGTAGTTCATAATTCTTGCCAGTAGATCTAGGACAGCCGAAAGTCCAAGACTTTCATTGCGTTAACTATTTTTCTTCCACGCATGGACACTTAGCAATACGCACATATTGCCTTGAAGTTGCATCATACGAAGGAACTTGCATTAATTGCTTCCAATGTCTTACGATGATGAGCCTTTTTTGGGAGTTGAAAGGAGCGCTGGTACAAATCACCGGAGAAATACAACTGCAGCAAGATAAACATGAAACTTGAGTAGAGTTGGTGATAAATCCTGACAAGCAATGTAGCTTCAATCTTCCAACCACGCTACTACCGGCCAAAGCAACTTATCAACAAAACACAACAACCAGAAGATAAAAAAAAACACCAAAAGACAGTCAATTGCAATACTTCAAGTTGGACCTCTAAGTTACTGCTGATGAACTTAGAAGTCCGGATTGATGTTAATTTGTGGAGCTTTTGCACCCAAGATATGAGCATGAAGCCCATGTCGTGGACGCTTCCTTGCAAAGCTACCGTGCTACATGTTGTAAAGTATTAGTGTCTTGGTCATAAGGAGATGTTCCCATCGACGCCAAATTAAAATGAGACGCCTACCTACATGAACAGAGAACCTTGGAGTCATTATGATTCATAGTAACAACACAACTACAACTATGGTCATTTTCGTCACCCATTATCATCTCTTTTAAAAAACAGAAACATATGAGCCTTCAAACTCGTCTGTTAATCAGATGAGTATGGGAGTCCATATGGGAACCCATACTCATCTGTTATGTTGCAACAGACGAGTATTTGTCTATTATAATGAGCAGATGAGTATGAGCTGCCATACTCGTCTGTTTTTCTTAACAATAGATGAATAACATCTTTTTTTTTAATTTAAATTTCATCTTTGCAGCGCACAGATTTGAATATATCCTAAAAATATGTCTTCTCCTCTCTTCTCTATGTGCGGCAAGCTCTCTCCCTCCCTCCCTTCTTTAGATTTCTACTTCTCCTCTCTAGCAACAATACCTGTGGCTAAGTTTGCCTTCTCCCTCTCTAGCTAGTAGCTCGCCATCTTCTTCTCACTCTCTTCCTCGTTCTTCTCCCCCCTCTCTTCCCCATTCTTCATCCATGCCATTCCACAAGCAAGAGCAATGTTTTCTTCCATGAAAGTTGCTATTCTCGTCCAGCTTAACCTTGTTCACAATGCAAGGCAAGTGGAATGGGTGTGTGTGTGTCTTTTATATTATATGAGTTTTTGGATGTTGAAAGGAATTAATGTAATTATTTGTGGGTGTGTATGTTTTCTATTTCAATTGATTGTTGATAAGAATTGCACTTAGGAATTATTCAAAATTGATTGGGTTAACATTTTGATGATTAAAAAACTTGCTAAACCTGTTTAAACCTTAATGCACATAAGATATTCGTGAAAATGTCTAAGAGAGCAATTTGACTGGAATATAATAGTTAATTAAGTATTTTTAATGTTTAATCTTCACTTTGAATTTTAGAAAGCTTTAAATGCTATTTAAACATATATGTGTGTGTGCGTGTGTGTGTGTATAACTTTATTTTTATTACTTTGTAGGTAGATAGTGTTAAGAGAAGTGTGCTTCAAATTATATTGGAAAGGTTGAGTTAAATGTTGTAATCATCCTAATTAATATTACAAGTAAGCTTGAAATTGATTTTTTGATATTCGTGAAAATGTCTAAGAGAGCACTAAGGGTGTGTTTGGGTGACACCTCAAACCATGGTTTGGGGAATAAATCACCCAAACACCCCCTCCAAAAACCAAAACCATGGTTTTGACTCCAAAACCATTGTTTTGGAAAAAGCAAAATTTTTTTGCTTTTGGAGAAAAAAGGGAGAGTGTGAGGGCCTATATGATATGTATTTTGTTATTTTTTTAATAAACATATTTTTTTATAAATATATTTAATCTTATATTTTATAAATATATATACACATTAATTATTTATTAATTATATTATCTTATGTATTATTAATTATATTGGTAAAAAACATATTATTAACAATTTTATTCCTTCAAATTAAAATATATCATAAAATCTATTTTTTCTGTAATTATCATATTAACTTATATCTTTTTTTTAGTAATTTGTATATATAAAAGTGCTTCTGATAACAACTATCCAAACACTCTCACTTCTCAGAATCACTTTTTTACAAAATCTATTCTTCACAGAATCTATTTTCCCCATAATCTATTCTCCAGAATCACTTTCTAAACTACGGTTTGGTTTCATCCAAACACACCCTTAGTGCTTTTTGCTTAACCAAGTTAGGATGTCATTAGATTTTTTTTGGTTTTAAAATTTTCTTCTGTTATATAATTAACTTATGGTGTTTAATTCTTTTTGCTTAACTAAGTTAATTAATTAAGATGTTATTTGTTTTATGTGT